GACCTCGCTCCGTGACGATCAGCCCTGGAGAAGTGATGTCCAGGGATGTATACTTCCTAGTTACGGATGTCCGGGAACAGACACGTCTCAGAGAAAGCCAAAAATAAGGGTGATTATCGATGGCAAGGAGTTGAATCTCGTCCAATTTGTTCCGCAAGCAGCGCACATCAGCGCACAACACACTCAAACGGTCCATCGATCCTGATGTCCGGGTAGGAAGAGGATGAGTCTCCACTGTGTTCTCGAAGTGTCCTGATCCAGTCGAAAATGCACAGTGCGAAGGTCTGTTTCAGCAGTTGTCTGGTGGGTTCGAAGTTCATCAATTGCACTCTTCAATTTTATTCGATCCTCAGGGGACAGATATCTCAAAGCAGAAGACGATTCTCCTTTAAGACGTAAAATGCGTCGGAGGATGCACCCACATTCTACTTTGTTTTGGCATAGAATCTTAGAGGGCGAGGCTTTTTAGAGTTCTCCTGCTTCCTGCCAATGCAAAAGGCAGAAACAACATTTATCCCTGGTTCACCCTCATCAAGCAAAAATGAAATCATCCCTTTTAGAAACGCTTCATCATCTTGGATTCTTTCAGTTGGTGTAGTTTTAGAAGACGCAGGCACATTTGCCACTACAAGGCAGCGGTCACGAGCGGGGCGATAGGAGACTCTAAATGCCTGCTGCTTAGGAAAAATCGATTTGCTCTTAACAAAATTCACCAACTTAGCAACTCTCTTAAGAACCTTTTTAATCATCAATTGCGGGGAGGGATTGGCTTCTTCACCAGCTTTCGCCTTTGGCTTCGCTTCTCACATGTCTGAGTTGCGGCTGGCTGGCGGCGCCACGAGTTCTTGCACCACAGATGCATAGGTCGTGACCGGAGTCTCGGCATGCTGAGTAGCAACGTTTACGGAGGGCGACATGGTACGACTTTGCTTACCGATAAGCGTTACGAAGCCAGAACAAAGGGAAGGAGTGGCCGCAGGTAAAACTGCTTCCTGGGAAGCAAGCAACGCAGTGTGAGGAAGAGAGGGACGTGGACTAAGCGCCGGTAACCCGACAAGCAGACATGTCGCTGATTGTTACTCCGCATGAGTCACCAAAGAAAGATATAGCATGAGACGGTGCCCGTTGTAGATATCCATTTAGGCTCAAACAGATAACACAGCAAGCGTGAATCCAACCATCACACAAAGCGCACTGTACGGCCTACGAATGGTGAGTGACCCACTTACTACAGGAAACAATTTGAAAGCCATGGGTTATTGAGAAACAATGTAAACCATGGGTAGTACGAAGAAAATACACGTCATTCGCGAGCACTGCAGTACAAGACGACGACAAATATCCTCGCTAGCCAAAAGGGACCTATGCCAACTGTGGCAGAAAGCAAAAGACGCGCGGAATGAAATACCTATAGCAGTTTAGGTAAACGCCACTACTAAACGATTCCCCATGGCTAACTATGCACACAAAATCTAGCGTAGTTATTTATCATCATAAACCCTTACGTTTCATTCTAATCGCTTGGGCGATAAACCATTTGTATCCAAGCATTGCTTCTGAGTTTCGTTGTTGTCACTCGAAAGGCTGCGACGTAGTCGCAGCAGCGTTACCGCGCCAAACCTAGTGCACAATAAATAGTTTGGTGTCATTTTATGGCATGTTTCCCGGCTATCTTTCTTTCTTCGCAGTTTTATTTAATTCTGTGCAATCGTAATATTGCAAATGTTCAAATGCGTCGGAAACCAGATACACGGCACGAACAGTATATTCGGATCCGTACGCTATGGAGTATGGTTTCCGGAGAAGCTTCTTTGGGCGTTCTTTTGACAGTTTTGAGAAGTTTAATAGTTTGTTTTCAGACTTCATGTTGCTTCAGTACGTCAATTTCATATGCTACAGCAGCAGAAAGTGTAACGTGTCACTGGTGAAGTACGACAGGGGCATTTATCGATGTGTACGCTGCACACGTCGGAAGTCAACAATTACAGGAGGGACACGTGTTTAGTAGGGTTTTGCTTCTATTATTCTAAATCTTTCAGCTAACGTGATACTAACTGCTAAGCTCGCGTTAACCTTATTAGAACGGGACGCAAGCTGAAAGTCTCAACCTTCGATCTGTCTCACAATCACCCAGTTAACCGCTTTCTTTTTGAGCGACACCCCATCAATCGTCGTCTCACAGATGATGAGTTCCTTCAGTGATGAGATTACCGCCGATCCGAGTGCAAGTCAACAAACCGTAACCCATCATATTGCACGTGCACTTAGTACTGGTGATCTTTTTCCTTATCTTTCACTGATAGGTTGTCAAATTTGAGCCGTCGAGTTCCCCTTACTCAGAGGTATTATGCAGAGTGGGGCGCCAAAGTAAGTTATTCTGTGCAATATAGACTCCACTTTTCACTTTATTGTAGCGTCGACATGGATGCTAGCCCAGTAAAGATAAACGCTGAGAAGGAGAAAACTTGTTCAGATAAACATTCTCATTCAATTACCCGACAGTGGGCTATACGTTCACACTACTATTATACTTCAACCGATGAATACGAATTTGTGTAATGATACCCTGCATGGGACATACGCGTCCAAGGCACGAATATACTGAACAACGCTGAGCCTTTTCTCGCTGCTTTCTGTTAAATACCATGCACCGTTGTTATTGCGGTTTCTGAGTTCCATCGGAATTAAAGCATTTTTAACATTTAACTGGACTAGCGGCACATTGGATGCCAGTGTAATAGGACCCAGGTGCGTTGTCATAGCACACGGCTACAAGGCTGGTGCTCGTTGTATATAGGCTCCATCAGTGGCACAATTATTGCTAATGCAATGGGACACAAGTGAGTGGTAATAGCACACGGCTCCAAGGTTCGGGCTCGTTGGATATAGGCTTCGTCAGTGACACATTTGGTGTCAATGTACTCAGACCCAATTGGGTTGTAATAGCACACGGCTATAAAGCTTGTGGTCATAGTATAGCGGCTCCATCAGTGGCACATTTATTGCCGAGGTAATTGGACCCAAGTGCGCTGTAATATCATTTGACTCCGAGGATTGTGCTTGTAGGAGAAAGGCTCTGACAGCAGCGCACTCATGATATATGGTGAGGTAGCATAAGATAAAGCCTACTGTTTGACTATAAGTCATCCTAATTTAGTTTCTTTTGGACGAGGTTTGGTCACCCACAATCATTCAGGGTTTGGTTTTACGGCTACTGCATTGCGTAATTACTATTAGTAGGTAGTTTCCGCTTCATGCTTACGCTATTTTAACCATGAAACGTAAGTTTCTGGATTTCAGAGTGCTTTGGAAAATATTTCGGGTGACTAAGATATCGTTCATAAGGTGTACATTTAGGCTGCCAAGGGCCAAAAGGTTGGTCATTTAAAGCGTTACAACACTCACACGATGTCACACGTTTTCGCTGCTCTCGCGGAAGGGACGCATATTCCGTCAACGTTACGCGGTAATCGATTACAGACTTGTAAGTACGTACTACCACCGTGACGAATTATTGGTCACTCATGGTGCTCTAAATGTCACTTGCGCTAACAGAAAGTACGGTGAGAAAGAAAGATTTTACGCAGTAAACAACGCCGGTACTGACTTAGGACGTTAGTTGACAACATCTATGGACACAATAAAACAATTATCTTCGTCTCATTTTGCCTTTCAGCCAGTGGCCAACAGCACGCTTCAATGGAAGGGCTCGCTGTCCATATGTATGGATAAAATGATAATTCATATTTACCATAATTCTGCACAGGTTTCTTATGATTGCACAAAATCTTCGCTGTTAAATAACCCACCTAAATATGTCTGCTATGAGGTATCATCTGCTACGATACTCACAAACCCCTAGAGTTACATGTTTCATTATATGAATAGTGCATTTCACATTAAAATTCCGAGGCTAAAAATATCGGCACAGCATGAGACTAAATAAGTAGTCCAAGATTATAATATCAGTACACTGCGAGTATTTTTAATAAATGGGCTCATAAATAGTGTGCTTATATTTTAAAACCTGTAGTGAATAATTTCTAATTTTGTTACCTATATTGCATTAGTGTTATGCATATTTAAGGCAAATATAGCTGCATGCATCACACACTTGGATGTTTCACCATGGATACATAGACACGTAGGAACGAGAGTTGAATATTGACACTTTAGCAACACAGCGTGCACAGCTGATTGACTGGGCACTGTTTTGCATTCATTTCGAAACCGTTTTGCTCGTCCGTGTTCAGTTTTGCGTCTAAAAACATGTAGACCGGACTCCGAGAAGACGCATAAAAGCTAACCCAAGAACTATTAGTTGACGCGCGTGCCGACAAACTTGTCACAAAGATTAACTTTCAAGGTATAACTTTCGGAAATCCAATGTTTTAACGGACTTCCAAGTCTGCGAATTAGTAAATACAGCATACATGAAAACCGGTGACCTGAATTTGACTTTTAGCACTACAATGCGCACACTGTGCAATAGTCAATATACGGGAGTGGATATTTTTGTCTTATTAAATTACCAAATTTGTAGCGTTTTGTTAACGGTATTTACATGCATTCGAATCGGCGGCAAGTGCTTTATAGCTTTTTAGCACACTAAAACACATTTTTGATGGTATGCGATTAGAATGACAGACTCTAGAGGTCCATCATTTCACTTCATTCTGACCAATCAATTAACGTTGCCATCTTTAAAGTACCCTATTAGGTCTGCGACTACCGGGCAGCCTAGAAAGCGGTGACGTCACACAAAAGCTGTTTTATAAGACAGCCTCCTTCTGCTCGGTAGGTGTACTGTAGCCGGTCTGCGAGCGTCGCAACACGTTAACAGGTAAGAAATCCATCGGTTTCGCTTCCTGTTATCATAACCCTTATTCCTCTCCGGCGCTTTTCCCCTTCCGTGCTTCCTTTGCTGCTTCCTTTACATCGGGCTTACTAGGCTGCTCGAGCGTACAACCGTCTACGAGGTATTTATTTTGCATTGCAGCTTGTCACACTACTTGGACACGGAAGAGCTCAGAACGCCGGACCGAAGGAATATTACACTACCTACCGAATAGAAGGAGGCTGTTGTCGGCCTGAATTCAAGTGCTATGACAAAGACCTACCGGCTAATTAAAGGCCTATCAGCTTGACAAACGTGGTCGTTACATGAAAAATTAGTACGAAATACAGTGGAGAACCATTTGAATAGATTTATTCTGCTTAGCTTCGTGTGACGTGGTTTTCACAAAAGATTTGTGTGTCAAACATACTTACTGCTAGCCCGTGAGAGCCGGGCTGAAGCCGTAAACAGTAGACATGCGTTGAACGTGGTGTTCATTACTTCGGCAAGTCCTTTGACACTGTTCCTTATTCGATACTCTCACTGAACTTGAGATCTTACGAAATATCTGGTCGCGCTCTCCAGTGGGTGTCAGCTTTACTGGATGGACGAAAAGTGTATTGGCTGTAGTGGGCTACTTTTCCGAATTTGCGTTATCATCATTTCACGAACAGTTTGACTGGATCCATCAAGAAGTCGGTGCACCCCTATCAATTCCTGGATCGACGACCCACGCAAGAAGGAACACTTACGGGATTCATCCTATCGTTCCAGTTCCACTTATCGGGTTTCACCATCTGAGATTTTCTTCCCTAAAATCTTTGTTTGAGAACGGTAATGGAATAACGCTGCACAAAAAATTTGGCTTCTGTCAGTTTTCTCGTGATCCCAGAGGGCTTGGAAGTGCCAAATTACCGGACTATTTTGTCACGGCCTGTCTATCGTGTTTCATCGTTCGAGCTCTTCTTCGACGGATTCCTTGTTTGAAAACTATTTCGGTAACACTGCACAAATCTTCGGCTTTTGACAGTTTTCCGTGCTTCAAAAGGACTCCGAAGTCCTAACATACTCGCAATCACTTGTGGGTGTCTACATTGTCACGACGCGACCTCCGCGGAGTCTCCGTACGCCTTGCGGCTTGCTACTCCCCGCTTACGCTGAATACTTTTTCATCTGTACGAAAACGCTTGTGTGGAAACTGTCCTACTTGAAAAAGTGCATCATATTGGGTGCCCCCGTGAGTAAATCGATGCGTACGTTTTTCATACAGTATTATCCGACTATTGCTCTCGCTCTCTGCATTGTAGGCCTTCGCAAGCCGGTCCACACTTTTACGTTGTTCTTACCTTGTTGTCAAGATGGTTAGAAAAGTTGTGGGTGTGCCTTCGGGTCATAAAACCGTCGGTTCGGTTTACCTATGCGGTTGAGAAATGCTGTGTACATTAAACCGACTTGTTGGGTGGTATGCAATGCGGTCTTTGCGGTCGATGGTTCAATGAGGCATGCACTGGTATGCCTGCTGATCAGTATGCTCTCTTGGCAAGCAATGAGAGGTCCTTTTATGGCTGTGAAGACTTGTAAGCTTAAAGTTCAGCGCTGTGTAACCACAAAGGATTGCTTCGATTCGCTCGTTTCCAGACTGACAAATATGGAACGTGTCGTCTTTGCTTATGACAACTTTGGATGGGAAAGTTGAAGGTCTAGTAGATCGTCTGACACCATCCGTTGTTCTCGGCTAGTTGAAATTAGTGTATAGTAGCACGCAAACGGATTTGTCGACTTAACACCCTATCCAGCAACAGATTGCGAGCTAGTTGGGGCTAAACAGATGGAAGGGGTATGTGATTCCAAAGCTAATGACGAAATAATACAGACCTTGCCAGCAAAACGTAAGCGGAGCAAGAAGACAGCTGTAAAGTTGCAGAGTGCGGTAGTACCGGAGTGTACAGAGGATCAGGTAAGCACGTAACTTGCAGTGCCTACAATATTGCGTTCTTCGGCGTCCCCTCTCAAAGCCTCTTCCTACGCAGCTAGTGCATCCAAGCAACCAGCCATCCAGTCGCAAGATTCTGTGACTGTGGCGCGTGGAGTAGGCACCCCTGCCGCATGACTTACACCGATGGCAGTGTCATCTTTAGGAATGTCACGGAGTCCACCGCCGCTCCTCCAAAGAAGCGACTGCTTGATGATCTACAATGGTTTAAGATTTGCGTTTCCAAACTGCTACCGCCCGACTTTCCTGGCGTAACTGTACGGAAAATCAGTAGGCTTGTGTCTGTGTCGGTCGATGTTTCGGACCTCAAACTCCGTTTACTGAGAGTCATTCTTTCAACACCGGACGAGCGTAATACCCTTCTGCGTTTCGCTTTTAAACTTAAGGGTTCTGGGGTCAGTATTCAACCTGACCTCCCATTGACTGATAGGTTGAAACTGAAGGCCGCCATAAAAGACATCAAAGCCCGTCGCGAGGTGGGTAAAACTGGTCTTCGATTGGTGTGTTTTCGGGTGCTGAGCCGGAGGTCTACTTCCGCCCCTTCAGAGCCCGCTCTGGTGGCACCCGACCCCCCGCTCACGATCCAAATTTTCTTAAAGTAATCCTCAGCAACGTGCGTAGTCTGAGGAATAAGATGCGCAAGATTGGCACGCTTATAGAAAGTTCCCGACCAGACGTACTTACTTTCACTGAGACTTGGCTGTTCTCCGATATCCTGGACAGTGAATGTGTTTGCCTGGCTATACCCTTCCACGAGCTGATCGCGCCTCATGCTGCCGCGGAGGTGGAGTTGCTTTGTACGTCAAATCCACCTTGACTATTTCGCGAACATATTCCTTCAATTCTCCTGATGTAACTGCCGAGGCGCTTGCGGTGGATGTTTGCGCTTCTTTCACGCAATTCAAAATTGTGTTAATATACAGAAGCCCCGAAAGCACGTCAAGCAGTCTCCTTGATTTCATTCGTACTCATACGACAAATAGATGTCTGGTTATGGGTGATTTTAATGTTCCTGTGTTTGATTGGCGCGATTTCTGCACAGTAGCGTCTGGACGTTTTTCTAATGATCTTGACCTATCCTTACACGTATCCCTTCATCAGTTTGTACAAAGGCCAACTAAATTCATGGAGGGCCAAAAGCCTTCCATTTTAGACTCCATCTTTGCGAAATCTATGGAATTTGTATGCGATATAGTGTATGATTCCCCTTGAGTTCTAGTGATCACGTCTGCCTATTATTCAAATGCGTCTTAAGTCGGGGACGGGAAGTGTATTATCAGGAGGCCGAATATCTGGCGCGCTGATTTTCAAGCCATCAGGGACAAGGCTGCAAATCAACCCACGTTGCTTGGGACAAGTTCAAATTCTTTTTTTGCGAGATTTCTCTCCCCCACATTCCAATCTCAGCGAGGAATAAAGTGGGGGCAAATCCCCTTGGTTTGACTCTGAGGCGCGCAGGATGCTCAATAGGCGCTCCAGGTGTTGGAGGACCTACGTATCAGCTCCCTCAGAAAGTACCTATCATCGCTACCGAGGTGTGCGAAATGCATGTAAACAGCATCAGCGGGCCGCACGCTCGGGGTATGAACTAGCGCTGGCTCGATCTGCATGAACAAACTAGAAATGGTTTTTTGGCTATGTCAAACGGACATGCAATGCCTATTCGCCTATCCCTGTGCTCTTTGGACCTGACGCCACTGAAGTATCAAGCGATCAGGCCAAGGCCTACTTACTTGCGAAACAGTATGCTAGGTCGTTTTCATTAATCTCCGTTGCCTAATATCGAATTGCAGGTAATGATACCAGTAGATTCCTTTCTGATGGACCTTTCCATCTCGGAAGTTCAGGTACTCTAGCTCCTGCGTGACCTGAATCCCACTAAAACTGCCGGGATAGATGCCCTCCATCCCAAACTTTTGTACGAGCTGGCTGAGTTGCTGTGTAAATCGATTACATGTATCTTTGAGAAGTCTCTTCGTAGCTGCTCCCTACATTCTGCCTGGAGAGATCCTATGGTGTGCCCTATTTTCAAAAAGGATGGTAAGCACCTACCCGAAAATTTTAGACCAGTTAGCCTAACAAGTATACTAGTGAAAGTATTAGAGGGGGTAAGATGTGCTCTGGAGAAGCACTTGACCAAGTTCAGTTTGGTCAGCCTGTCTCAACATGAGTTCCGCAGAGGCCACTCCTGTTTGACTAACATATTGGTAGCCCGAGAATGCTGGGCTGAGGCTGTGGATCAAGGAAAGGCAGTGGATGTTTTCTTCATCTACTTTTCTAAAGCCTTCGACACCGTACCGCATTGCCGTCTTTTGTTTAAACTAGAATCCTACGGTGTCTCATACCAAGTAGTAAATTGGATTTCGGCTTTCCTGGAAAAAAGGCAGATGAGATTTCTTTCAAACAAGCCGTCCTGGGTGGTGTTCCTCAGGGTCGGTTCTCGGATCTTTACTGTTTGCGTTGTATTTCAATGACCTCCCTGAGAAGCTTAATGTACCATCTCTTATATTTTCGGATGACTTAAAATTTTGGAATACAGTGAGCGATTCTATTGGACCCAAGGCTGTACAGACAGCTCTCGACAAGCTTTGGGAGTGATCAGAATTGTAGCAGCTGCCAGTCAATCTTGCAAAGTGTTCGGTCCAGCGCATAGGATCAAGCACTTACGTACTTGGCGGAAATGTAGTGCATCAAGTGACTAAACAAACAGACTTTGGTATCTCCCTATCCTCTGACTTCAAATCCAGCGAGAACTGGACAAATGCTACCCGAATGCTATGGATGATCCGCAGGTCGTTCGGCATCATAACAAATGAAATGCTTGTTACCTTGTTCTCAGCCTTTTTCAGGCCATACTTAGAGTACTGCGTGCAGGCGTGTCCTCCATGCTCGGTAGGCGATAAAATGACACTTGAACGAGTTCTGAGGGTTGGTACAAAAATGATACAAGGATTGAGCCATCTCTCGTATCCTGATAGGCTGCTCAGGTTGCAGTTGTTTTCGCTGCACTATATTATTATTATTATTATCTCAAGCAAATTGCTGATGCTCTGGCCACCGCAGAGCATAATCAACGGTGCCCTATCTGCTGCATCGAGCAGGGTGGTTAGGGGTTTGGATGCTACTGATCAAGACTTCCCGTCTTCTTATTCCCTATCTTACGCTTTTTCACTCTTACCGCCCCCTTCCAACTTCACTTATATCCCCGATTCTTGGCCCTCCCTCAACATGCTTTGCTAATTTCAACTCACATGTGAACGCGGAGCGTCACTCCTCCGCTGTTGACAAGCCCATGTCCAACCAAGCGGTCCATTCCAGTTCATCGGCTTCCATTTGGAGCCCTCGATCATCCTTCAGATTGGCATGCCTCAATGTACGCACACTACTACAGATCGGTCAACAGGCAGCACTTGCCCGAACATTGGAGACCCTCTCGATCGATATCTGCTGTTTATCAGAGACCCGCCTGCAAGACTCGAGCTCTGTGCTCACTCTGCGATCCCCTTCAGGTGACGCAAGCAGTATTTTCTCAGTGCGCCTATCCGGTTACGATGCAGTTTCGAGCACCGGCCAACCTGGTGTTGGTATTGCCCTGAGTCCCCGGGCTGAAGCTTCTCTGGTTGATAGGATTCCAGTCAGTAGCCGGATGTGTGCGGTCCGATTGGCTGGCTCGTTCAAAGCTTCGAAGTCTCGCTAACCAAATAGGTGTCTATTCATCATCGCTGCCTACGCGCCCACAAACTGTAGCGAGGAATCGGTAAAGAACGACTTCTACCGCCAACTGACTCAGCTCCTTCGCCACAGAAGAAGCACGGACACTGTTGTGCTGGCTGGGGATATGAAGTTGGAAAGTTGTCCACTGCTGAAATGCATCTGGGCGGTCAGCACGGTGTAGGCTCCCGTAATGATAACGGTGAGCGGTTACTTCATTTGTGTGAAGATGCTCGCTTATTTCTTGCGAGCACTGATTTTCGACACGGCACCCGCCGGAGGGTGACTTGGCGCCCACCAGCCTCGAACCAGCCTTGGACGCAGATCGATCATATTGCTATTAGTTACCGCTGGTTAGGCTACATCCAGAATTGTCGCTCGATTTGGAGCACATGTGTGGACACCGATCATGCACTTGTATGTGCTGACGTGCGAATGCGCTTTGGCGGACGCCCACGACGACGCTGTGAGCGCATTGACACCAGCCAACTGACAAAACCAGCTGTTCTGAATGCGTATCGATGTACGCTGAC